TATATATATATATATATATATATATATTTGTTAAAGTCACTTTTTTAATTAGTTACGTTTTTTTCTAATTTTTTTAACCAACCAATAAACAAATGTCACATGTCAATTTCATCAGTAAAAAAAAGTCTCAATCTTGGATTGTTGAGTAAAAAAGATTGGTAGAGATTGGTTGTTTATGTTTACAAAAAACCGTTCAAAGTTTGATTCGTCAGATTGTGATCGGAGATGGTTTTAATTGATTCCTAAGGAGGTGTTTGGTTCGTAGAATAGAATTCAATAGAATTGGAATTCATCAAATGAATTTGACTTTGAGGGAATAGAATGGAATTCGATGAAATTTGACCATGTCTTTTGATTGCGTTTGGTTGGAATTGGAAAGAAATTCTTAACCGAATTGGAATGAAATTCTTAACCGAATTGGAATTTTTTTGTTTCGTTCACGGAATTCAACGAGAAAATTACAGGCAAAAAAAACTGAAACCGAAACTTTCAGGCTGGGTTCGGGGACATCTTATCGGGGACGGGGCGGGGATCGGGGACAAATTCGGGGATTTTAACCGGGACGGGGGCGGGGACGGTGATCATCGGCCCGGCCCGGCCTGATATGTTTATGTATATTAATTTTAATTTATATACATATACATACATACACACACACACACATATATATATATATATATATATAATATTAAATTCGGGGATTTTTAGATTTGTTTCGGGTTTCAATTTCGGGTTTGGTTACAACCAACGGTGAACGGAAAAAAGAGGATTTTTACCTTAACGAGTTCCCCAACGGGGATCGGGGAAACCGCGAGACCTGATAAGATCCCCGACGGGGATCAGGGCGGTCATGGGGACGGTTTTAGTTATCGGTTTCTGGGACGGGGATACCAATAACCGGCCCGAACCTGGCCCGTTGTCATTCTTAGTTTTAAATGAGATCGAGCAAAGGAAATCGAGCATAGCAGAACAGAGCAAATCGAGATACAGCGTTGATGAATGGATGAGGGCTAAGGAATTTATCGAATTGGAATTTGAAATCCGTGGTATATGTGGTGGAATTGTGAAATCAATGAATTAGGGAATTGGTTGGAATTGGAAGGATTCCTTCACATCTATTATGTGAACCAAACATGGAATTTGGAATTTGGTCAAAGATTTGGACATTCCAATTCTTTCCAATTCCACTAAATTCCATGAACCAAACACCCCCTAAGGCTTTAACAAGAGAATTCCTTCGATAACAAAGAAACTATATAATAAAAAATACATATAAAAATAAATAAAAGAAAAAGAAAAAAAATAGAAAAGATAATATAAAAATTAAAATAA